AGCAGTCAGGAGCCCGCCTGGAGAACAAGGGAGTACAATTTAAATTTAGCTTTCAAATTCTTTGTTTTGTCTATTTTGAAGTCAGGAGCCCGCCTGGAGAGCAGGGAATACATTCAAGTTTAGCTGTCAGGAGCCCGCCTGGAGAGCAGGGATTACATTTCAAGTTGAAGTCAAGAGCCCGCCTGGAGAGCAGGGAATACTTTCAAGCATAGCAGTCAGGAGCCCGCCTGGAGAACAAGGGAGTACAATTTAAATTTAGCTTTCAAATTCTTTGTTTTGTCTATTTTGAAGTCAGGAGCCCGCCTGGAGAGCAGGGAATACATTTCAAGTTGAAGTCAGGAGCCCGCCTGGAGAGCAGGGAATACTTTCAAGCGTAGCAGTCAGGAGCCCGCCTGGAGAACAAGGGAGTACAATTTAAATTTAGCTTTCAAATTCTTTGTTTTGTCTATTTTGAAGTCAGGAGCCCGCCTGGAGAGCAGAGAATACATTTCAAGTTAGAAGTCAGGAGCCCGCCTGGAGAGCAAGGAATACATTTCAAGTCCAGCAATCAGGAGCCCGCCTGGAGAGCATGGAATACATTTCAAGTCAGCAGTCAGGAGCCCGCCTGAAGAGCATGGAATGTATTTCATGTCAGCAGTCAGGAGCCTGCCTGGAGAGCAGAGAATACATTTCAAGTTAGCAGTCAGGGAGCCCCGCCTGGAGAATAGGGTTAGTTTTTACTTTAGTCAAGCTTAGTTTATAGTTTTCCTAGTCTATTCCTTAGTTTAATTTCATCACTGCATCAATAGTACAAGTGGTTTACAATTTTGCTAACAACCCACAAATCTTCTTAGTGCAAACTGGGGCAGAAAATTTCTTTGTTTTGTCTATTTTGTTGTAATCAGGCGCCCACCTGGAGAACAAGTGGAAATAACTCAAGTTTCAAGGGAAAGCAGTTTCGAAGGAAGACAGTTCAAGTTTCAGGGGAAAATGGTTCAAGGTGCAAAGGAAAACAGTGTCAAGTAATAAGAGAAGACGGTTCGAGTTCAACGGTCAGACGTCCACCTGAAGAAAAGGAAAAGCGCCTCAGATTGCAATTCAAGTCAGCAACCAAAGAATCTCGCGGCAAGAATGCGAGTCAACAGTCCGAGGTGATCAACAGAAGTTAGTCATAATAAAGAAAAAGATGGAAAGGGAAGAAGTGAATCCAAATGCAGAAGTTGATGAAAGATGTGAACTGCTTAAGACATGGTGGAAATCACAAGCACTACATGTCCGGTCTTGGTCCGAAAATCTGAAGAAGAACGAGCTAGCACCTGCAACTGGCAAGCGCCAAGGTTCAAATCTAAAGTCTGCATGAAGAACCATTCAAGACTCAAGATCAAGTTTCAGAAGACTTATAGATAGGAATCTTGTAACTCGTAGTTGATAGGCTTAGCTAGTCTTTTTCATGTTTTGATTTTGATGTAATAGCAGGACTGCGGACCGGAACCTTGACGGAACGACACCTCGACTGGATCTCCACCTCGGTATACTCCATCACCTCATTCACTTCTGAACTACACGTGGCCTGATTCCTTTATAGCCAAGGATATGTAGGCAGCCCAGATACTAAGGCTCGGTCACATTCCCCTCTCTCTTAGCTTTAGTCTTTCCAAATAAGGGTCGGGTCAAAAACCTGTCTAGTCAATCTTTATCTGAAAACTCTGTACGTTTCCAGTCAAAGAGGGGCAGTTGTAGACATGTGATTTTTGACCCTCCCTAAGATTTTTTATATATTAGCGTAAAATATTTAATTTAGGCATAATATAGATATTTTAAGTAATTTTGACTCTTTTACTTTAATTTTATTGCAAGAAAACAAAAAATCACAAAAATAGGTTCATTAATATTTTGTAGTCATTTTTAATCTAAAAAAAATCTTAAAAAATATATGCAAAAATAGTGTCGTATTTTTATTTTAATGTGATATTTGAAAATACCAAAAATAGATTTGTTTTAATGGTTAGTTTTATTTTAATAATTATTTGAATAGTAGGAATAATTAACAAATGGGCCCGTATTTTTAATCTCGTTCGCAGCGAAAGAATAGAGCTTGGGCTCGAGCAACCCATCTTTAAGCCTAATTTTGGACCTAGCCCATAATTGTCAAGCCCATAATTCTTAGGCTCATACCCCTTAACCTAAAACCCTACCAAAAACCTAGACTATAAAATAAAAGAAAAGCAAAAAAGCAAAGAGAGAGCTGGAACGAAAAAGCAGCAAAGCTGCGCATGAATAACGAGGGGAAAGAACAAAAAGAACGGGAAAAAACGAAAAAAGCTGAACGAAAGAACGAAAAGGCCTGATCGATAACAAAAAACGAATAAGGGCTAAAAAAACAGAAAGAGAAATGGACGAGCAGCCATACACGAACGACCCCTCACTGCTTGTCATCTTCTTCACAAAACAGACCCCCCCCCTGCGTCGTCTTCTTCATGACAACCCACCCCCTGAATTCGTCACCCTCATACGACCCCACCCCCTCCGACTCCATCTTCTCTGACGCCCCACGACCACAGCACAAAACCAGTTGCCACCCCTCATCGAACCAGCGCCGCGGCGAAACAGCCAGCCTCCATAGCCACTGAACTTCAAGAACGAACCAACCTGTTCATCTATGGTTTCAACACGACGGACCAACCAAACTTCAACCCCAAATCACTACTCCCTGTCATGGAGTTTGCTGGTTTCGTCTCCTAGTTTAGTTTGAGTTTTCCGGCGAGATTCGAGGTCGCCGGAGGTCGTTGTACAGGGAGTCCGTGTAAGTCGAGGCAGCCACGGTTCTGTTCGTGATACTGTCCGTTCATATGTTTCAGATTTGTCCAAGCATTCACATTTCAAATTCAATATTAAGGTTCATTTCTTTTCGCTAATCCTACTTAATTTGTATTTATGTTCCCTTATTTCTAATATCTGTTTTTGTTTCGATCACTTCTTCATTGTTTTGTTGCCTAAGTAATTCATGCTTTATATTCAACTACTTGAAAATACTATTGTATTGGCTAAGATGAAGAAACCAACATCATATTCTTCGTTGTTTATCATTTAACCATTTGGCTTTCTTCTAAAGGGTTGATTGATTGCTCTATTCAATTAATCCCATGTGTGTGATGATTAGTTAATAAAGATATAGCATCAAGCTTACTGGGTCGTGGGAGTGGTTTTAGATGAGACAGGAATCTGGTTACAATTGTGAATTAAATGGGTTGGAGCTTTCGTCACAGTCAGCACATGTGAATCGGAATCTCTAGTTGTTTGAATCATGTACTTGACTTGAATTGGTTATAGCTGACGGTATAGAAATTGGATTGCTGAACCATGTCAATTAGATTAAATGGACTCGGGTGCGCATTTATGTGATCCAAATTCGAATCACAATGTTAGATAAAATATGTCGAGGGTCGCGGGTGCATTTATGTGACGTGATTCAAGACGTATTCTAAATGATATTGTAATTCTTTCTAAAAAAATGATTAAATAAAGCGGTTAAGGTTAAAATTGCACCATGGGTTAAACCTGTATTAAAATTAAGTAAATAGGCCAATTATAGCAGTTAAGCGACCGTGCTAGAATCACGAAACTCGGGAATGCCTAACACCTTCTCCCGGGTTAACAGAATGCCTTACCCGGATTTTTGGTTCGCGGACTGTTAAACAGAGTCAATCTTTTCCTCGATTCGGGATTGGAACCGGTGACTTAGGACACCATAAATCTCCCAAGTGGCGACTCTGAATCTTTTAATAAATATAATCTCATTTCGATTGTCCTTTAATTGGAAAAACTCCCTTATATACTCCCTTCCGGGGGTGTAGTAGAAAAAGGAGGTGTGACAGGTTTAACCCCTTAACACATAAATTTAATTATTTGAGCAAGGAGTTACACTTTTT